GGGGGGGGGGGGGGAGGGGACATTGCCAGGCTCCAATTGCTCTCTCTTCTTCCCCAAGACATAAATCAACATTAGACGTCAACGGAAGTCCGTATTTCAAGTTTAATGGTGTCACCCACCTTAATAATTATATGATTGATGAATTGCTGGGTAATAATGCTGTGATGCGACGGAGTAGATGAATGATGCCGGAGCAGGAGAGAAGGAATACAGGAGCAGGAAGCCGGAGGAGACGTAATAAGAGTGGTGGAAGACTCAGGACTACGAATCCGAAGCGCTGTCCACTCAGCTGTCAGGCCCCATTGACGTGGGTTGGAAGACACAGACACGCCTCTCTCTCTCTCTCTCTTATTTTTCCTTCCTTTCCATTCTCTGCCGTACAGCCGTACATTTACGTATACAGTAGAGTGCAGGGGAGGGGGGGGGGGGGCACTGGGAAGAGTCGAGCAAAACCCAGCAAGACGCCGCCAGAGTGTGAGTGTGTGTGTGTGTGTGTGTGTGTGTGTGTGTGTGTGTGTGTGTGTGTGTGTGTGTGTGTGTGTGTGTGTGTGTATGTATGTATGTATGTATGTATGTATGTATGTATGTATGTATATATATTAATATATAATATGCGAACAAGCTTGAATGGTCCCCAAGCATATATGCTACTGAAAATGTATATATGTGTATATGTATATAATATATATAATAAGTCTATAAAGACCCTTATAAACCATCAAAGACCCATCAAACATCAAAACATGTGTGAAAGCATCGGTATGTGTGTGTGTGTACTCACCTATTTGTGCTTGCGGGGGTTGAGCTTTGGCTCTTTGGTCCCGTCCCGGTTGGTCTTTGGCTCTTTGTGTGTGTACATGTTCACATCCACAGTATTCATCTAAAGACGCCCATATATGGTGAAACACAAGTGAAGAACCTCACACACACTCACAGCTCCCTGACAAGGTGAAGCAAGCTAAGCTTAGCTGGTAACTCCCACACACTGTGTCAGCAAGGCGGACAGCCCGCTTTTTTTTTTTTTTTTTTTTTTTTTAATTAGTAAAGAGGAAGGAGAGGCATAGGTGAAAGGAAGTTTAGAAGTGGGAAGTACAGTGAGAGGTATGAAAGCAGGCGGGCTGTCCGCCTTGCTGACACGATGTGTGAGTGTTGGCAGCTAAGCTAAGCTGGCTCTCTTGTCTGGGAGCTGTGAATGTGTGAGAGGTTCTTCACATGTTTCATCATATATGGATGTCTATAGATGAATACTGTGTAGCATTCATATATACACAGTCCGATGCTTCCACACATGTTCCTCTGTTTAAGACACTTTATTTTATTTTTATTATTTATTGAGTTATTCATACATTATTATATTATTATTATTTAATAATCATTATTATTCTTTAATAATATTCATTATTATTATTTAATAATATTCATTATTTATTGAGTTATTCATACATACACATATATATACCTATATACATATACACAACTGTACACATACACATTCATACACACATACATACTCCGTTTTTCCAATTATTGGGGGAAGGATTTCTGGTCAGTATTTCGTCTGGGAATTATGTACTGTGGGGGCTGGGTTTTCATCTAGTAAATCGCGGCTCTTGGGCCACCAGCTGTGGGAGCGGGGCGTCTCATCTTGGAACAATCTTTCTAACATTGGGTCCTCCAACATTTCGATGGTGTTCCACACCCTGATGGCTTGGTGCTGCAGTCTGATGTTCAGTGGCTGTATGTTCAGGAGCTCATGGAGCTCCAGGATTGTCTGACAGTCCGCCTCCTGTCATAACTCACTGTATTTCCCATTTCCAAACATTGCCCTTGGCCTGTACCACTCCATACTCTTTACTCATCCTTTTCCCCCCCTCCCCCTACACCACAATACCACACCCACTCGCTCTACCACTCTGATACCTCACCACCACGGGCCCCCACCACCACGGGCCCCCACCACGGGCCCCCACCACCACCACCACTGTTGTGGGTGGACAAGCTGGAGTGTGAGTGACCTTGACGGCCAGGCATATTCCTGTTGGTGAGTCATGACTCATAATTGTGTGTTGTGTTTCAGGTGAGATCAGGTGCGGGTACACCGGTGTGACGGCTCTTCACATCCCCTCCCTCTGGCCACACCTGGTGACGCCAGTGTCCTGGCCACACCTGTCCAACCACTTTGGCTGGACGGTAGAGCGAGCCTCGCTGTATGCATGTCGGCGTTCAATCCCCGACCGTCCAAGTGGGTGGGCACCATTCCTTCCCCTCGTCCCATCCCAAATCCTTATCCTGACCCCTTCCAAGTGCTATATAGTCGTAATAGCTTGGTGCTTTCCCCTGATAATCGCCTCCCTCCCATACACAACGGGACATACAAGGAAATACTTGCAATTTATATATATCAACATTGCCATAAATGAAAGCAAAATATAAAGCAAATTGACAGAAATGGTTGGGCACGTTTCCTCTTGCCTAATGCCTGTGTTCGCACGGCAGTTTATAGTTACCCGTGACACAGGCGACTGTTGTGGGTTGCATCCTGCCGGAGGTCAGTAGTTCCTATTAGGTAAGGATTTCGATTCAAGGCTAAAGTATATATAAATGCAGGCTTCCTGCCCCCTGACAGCGGGGAATAAATCAATACTAATATGAAAATACCGAAAGACATGCAAATGAAAGGTAGAGCTTGCAGTGTTGCCATGGTGCAGGCGCTAGTGTGCTCACAGCGCCGCCCCTCACCAGTGCCAAGCTTCCATTAGCTAGAGTGCCAGCCACATGTACATAGGCCTATGAAGCCGACCGACCATAGCCTGGCTAGAGTGTGGGAGTGTTGTGACGCGTGCAGGATTACGTTGGTGAGAACTGTGGCACTCTGGGAGTGAGGCAGCCACGGCCTCGGCAGGTGTCAGGAGGCAGTGTGGTGGCGTAGAGCAAGAGGGAAGTGTCCAGGTGCGGGTGAAGGACAATACTCACATTGTCAGGCGTCAAGTTAACCTTTAGCCTGTTTACGGAATAGTCACTGTGGCGTCCTATACGAACTGTCCTGCAAGAAAAAAGAACACGCACTCTTTATTTTTTTTTTTTTTTGAGATATATACAAGTTGTTACATTCTTGTACAGCCACTAGTACGCGTAGCGTTTCGGGCAGGTCCCTGGAATACGATCCCCGCCGCGAAGAATCGTTGTTACAACCAAGTACCCATTTTACTGTTGAGTTAAACAGAGGCTACAGTCAAGGATTTGCGCCCAGTAAATCCTCCCCGGCCAGGATACGAACCCATGACAAAGCGCTCGCGGAACGCCAGGCAAGTGTCTTACCACTACACCACGAAGACTGGTAATGAGTCCAGCAGGAAACTCTCACGTAATTGCCACAGAGACAATTAATCTGTGGAACTGGTCGAGCGAGAAATTGAAAGGGAGGTGGAGAAAATTACTGAGAAACTGTGAAAGTTATTTGTTTCATGACGCTTTTGTTAACGGCAATAATTCATTATTGGTCAGTTACTTTTTTATCAGAACGTCATGAGTAGGTTGTAGTTCTGTCAAAGATTATATTGTTTGGAGCAGGAGAGTGTTACAGTGGACAGTATCTCTAGATAATAGGTATCTCCAGGATAATAGGTATCTCCAGCAAACGCACTTAGGGTCGAAAGTCCCATTGTCCTAGCATGTGTACCCAGCTGCAGCGCCCAGCCACGGCCAGGTACCGGAAGTGTAGTCTTAGCTACAAGAGTGTGGATGCTGGACGCTTTGCTGTCCGTCTGCCTGGCCCTGAGAGTTGGGGTATGAGGATGGTCCTCGTGGTTCTATTAGACTGGTGACGGAAAAGAACAAAATTCAGTCTTTCTCCAGTTTTTTTTCTACCACAGACGTGGCCACACATTTACAATGCTAACCAGCATATATACATTTTCTTCTGTCCTCCATGGACAGGGTTAGAGATCTGTTAAACATATAGTTCAGGGATTTATTGAACAATCTTTTTCCAGTGACTTCCTCCTAGGAGGCATCCCGCACCCCGGAAGCTGGTACACCTGGTTATCTTCTTGAGGTTATCTTGAGATGATTTCGGGGCTTTAGTGTCCCCGCGGCCCGGTCCTCGACCAGGCCTCCACCCCCAGGAAGCAGCCCGTGACAGCTGACTAACACCCAGGTACCTATTTTACTGCTAGGTAACAGGGGCATAGGGTGAAAGAAACTTTGCCCATTGTTTCTCGCCGGCGCCTGGGATCGAACCCGAGACCACAGGATCACAAGTTCAGCGTGCTGTCCGCTCGGCCAACCGGCTGGTGTGTGGTACGAGGGGTTTACGAAAGCACGTGGTCAAGGTTATGGGTTTGAGATACCAAAACAGTATGTAAACCATAGCCTTCGTCTTGTGGCCACGCTTCTCCTAAGTCGGTCTTGAACTCATTTTTTTATTTACATTATACTTGCTGGTAGTTGAGGTGGTGAGGTGCCTAGCACTGACGGCTGGGCACGGCTCCAGCACCGCCCTGACGCAGCCAGCTGCCCCTAGACAGCGTGGCCCCACCACACACAGCTTGCACAGAACAACTTCGAGGCTAACAACAGGTAAACACACAGCACCGTTAACTCCCGAGCTTTTCATCTCACACGATATAGATGTACATTCCTCTGGAGTTAAGAACTATACAATTTTAAATACATATTTTTATATCATTTATACGCCACAAAAAATAGTTTAAACCATTTATTAGTTTGGTTTCAAAACATTAAGTATATTTAGGCGAGGCTCTAATCTAGTCTGAGCTTCAAACCTAAAAGTATTATGGTTTAAAGAGAGGTGTGTGGATTCATTAAGCAGGAATAAAACGTAACTTTCTTATGGTAAACTGTTTCCCTAGACACAATGTGGTGGAGAGAGAGAGAGATGGCGGAGTGGCGCACTGGTAGCCCGGGTTACCAGTGAGATGTGTACCCCCCGTCACATTCCCACCCCCGGCTGACCACGTGCTGCTCCAGCTGACGCGCCTCCCAAGCTCAGTTGTCCATCAGACATTGTGTGGTGATGGCTTCTCTGCCGCTCGCTCAGGAATACTTTAAGATTGTTATTTTTTAGTGTTACTGTTGAAACTGGAGATATTAAACTTTCTAAAAGACAGTGATGTATACGCAAGGTAAACGTTAGGAGTGATTCGAGAGTATATTGCGGATATCCTGAGTCAGCTGTAGGTAAGTGACATTTGTGTGCGTGTGTTCTCACAATTAGAGGTTGATGCAGGTGTGGATAGTTCTCTATCCCGGCAATGTGCAATTTTGGGAGACGTTGGCTAGTCTTGGAAGATGTCATAATCAACCATGAAGAGATGGTGTGTGCTGAGAGTGCTCTTGGAGATGCCGATTCGATAGTGTGAATTTAATTATTTCCTAGTTAGCCAGGTGTAGCAAGCGGGGTACCTTGAGGGACAAGGTTAGTGTGCTACCGGGGAGCTCCAGGTACTACATACCAGTCGCTTATTATACCGGGAGCTCCAGGTACTATACACCAGTCGCTTATTGTACCGGGAGCTCCAGGTACTATACACCAGTCGCTTGGTGTACCCGGAGCTCCAGGTACTTACTATACACCAGTCGCTTGGTGTACCGGAGGCTCCAGGTACTACATACCAGTCGCTTCGTGTACCGGGGGCTCCAGGTACTACACACCAGTCACCTGCTGTACCGGGGTGAGTCAGGAGGTTGGTACGCTGGCCAGGACGGAACACAGGCTCCTGGAACACACGCCAGTAAAGTAACAGCGAAGTTGTAGACTTGCCTCTCCTGGTGACCGAGACGGCTGTAGGCGTTGAATACTGGTATTACTTGGTTATTGAATTCGTGCTGGAAGGTGTCCATTAGGATTTACGTCTGTACCAAGAGGGCAGGAAGTGGCGGTTTTCCGCGGTAGATGATACAAGATTGCTCCAGGGCCAAAAAAAATAAAAAGGTTAAATGAAAAGAGGGAGAGATTGAAGTGGGTAATAGAGGAAGGAAGGAAGGATACATCAGTAACGAGAAAGATGGAAAAGAAGTAAAGGGAGCAGTAATGTTTTCCCACTTTTTTCCATGTTTTTGTCGAACCAATTTTTACCAATAGTCTAGACTTTTTTTTTATTTTTAAAGACAACTAATTTAATTTAAACTTATCACTAGTTATATTTTGATTTGATACGGGGTGTGGTTAGGAATGATGAGCGAGTGTGGTGCTCTGGGTACTTGTGAGAGGGAGTGTGTGGATGGCAGATGACAGCGGCAACCTTTCTGGTGCAGCAGCAGCAGCTTGGTGTGGTTCCCCCCCCCCTCCCCCGGGCCCACCGTGTGGTGTGGGACATGGTGTGTGTGGGTCGGCCGCCTCGACAAGCCGTGTTTTACCATTCAGGAAGCCTGCCAGGTTGTAGGTTAATTGTTTCAGCTCCACAAGCACATCGTGATATCCTGTTAAATTGACCTCTAGATCTGGGCCCCGGAAGCGGACCCGTTTTGCCCACCTGGTGACTTGCCTCTTAACCATAATATTTACATCCCTTTGTTCGGTAGATGACTTGTGAGGCTCGTAGGTGGTGGGTCGGCGAGGTGCTGACGTCATCCAAGCTTTTGTAATGTTGAACACTGGTGTAAGTAGCATTAAAGCTGCGCCGAAGAATGAGGGCAGTGCAGTCATTTACTTTCACAGTGGTAATATATTAAACTGTGGCCGGTCGGCATTTAGTAATAACCGCATTGCAGAGTACGAGAGATGGTAAGAGCTGTTAGTCGTGTAGCCTAAGGAGATAGTGGATGTAGTGCAAATTGCTGCGTTCGTGAAACATAACAGCGGTGCGGCGGCGGCTGGGAATTGTTAGCCTGACCTGACTATCTCACTGGTTCCTCGTCTCCGTATTCTTCTCACCACCATTGTGGCAGTCTTTCGTGAGCTCCTTCCACACTCCCCCTGAGAAGGGTGGAGGGATAAGCCAATCCCTTTTGTGAGCTCCTACCACACTCACGGCTATTATCTGCGACAAATCAATTCCTTGTGTGGACAGATTCAACTTGTGGTCTTCGTTCTTTTAAGGTTGAGTCCCTCTTAGGCAGACCTCCTGGTTACGTTCACTGTGGTAACAGGTGTTTCATGTGTGTATTTATCACCACCCCTTCCACTTCTCCTTCCTTTCCCTTCTGTTCTCTTGCCTCCCCTCACATCATTCCCTCCCAGGTCTTCACACTGTTCACTCCCCACCCCGATCTCACGGCATTTCCCCCCATCTTTCCTCACTCCCCTCGCACACTATTCCGTTCCTCCTCCCTTCTCTCTCTCTCCTCTCATATCCACCCCTATAACTTTTGTTATCATAACCTTTTCCAGGTTTGTGTGACCACTGTCTAGTGGGTTGATCTCTGCGGCTGCAGCTTGTGCGGAATGTAATTAAGTGAATGTGTCGCCTTCAATAGTGATGGGGCGGCAGAGTGCGTGAACTTTCTGATTAATTATTGTGTAATGTTAAAGGCGAGCGTGTCTGAGTTAGTCGTGCTGGCGGGACCGGCGAGGGGGAGTGGTCGTGTGCGAGGGAGCAGTGCTGAGGGAAGCCCTGTCCTGCTCCCCCTGCTGACAAGGTTACCACTACTAATTAAATCATGGCCAGGTGGGAGAGAAGGCGGGGGTTGGGATTTGCTTTTATATACAGGCATGTTTAGTAAATCAAGTCTGGTTGTGTGTCAAGTACTGTTGATGGTTTCGTGCTTTTGTGTGCATACGGTTTAAGCGGCAGACGGAATGGAATGGACCTCACACTCCTCGTAGCTGTATGTTCAACCCGTACACTCGAGGAATGCCACTTCCCTGTGTCCCTCTGACACTTCCCTGCGTCCCTCTGACACTTCCCTGTGTCCCTCTGACACTTCCCTGTGTCCCTCTGACACTTCCCTGTGCCCCTCTGACACTTCCCTGTGTCCCTCTGACACTTCAGTATTTCAAGTTTCCACTTTGTCTCGTTATCTTTCTGCTTATACTAAACACGCTGACATTATCAACATTATCTTTGATTATTTTGTACGTCTGTGTTTTATTCTCAAGTCTTGCAATAAGGGTTCCATTGCCCCAGTCTGTCTTCATGGTCTTAGTTCTGGTATATGTCCTTGTTCCACACCTCGACCAACTTATTGATGAGAACCCTGAGTAGGATTATACAAGTTCAGTTAACTATTAAAGGATCCTCCAGCCTGACCTGTTTCCCCGGACACCACAGCTTGGGAGTCGTATATTACATATTTGTGTGTGTCATGTGTCTATAGTGAACACACTGGTGTTCCCGTGGAGTACCGACTCCGCCTTGCCTACTAGTCGGCTAAGAATCTCACTGATCACGCAGCCTGACTTATGAATCACTACCTAGTTCATCATGTAATTTTTTGAGGCGTTTATCAAGTACTCTAACACCGTGAGCACTACTACTTTATCCAGTACTCTTTTTACACCACTACCTCTACGATCAGTCGTTGTTGTTGTTGTTGTTGTTGTTATAGATTCAGCTACTCGGAACAAGTTCCAAGTAGCACGGGCTATGGTGAGCCCGTAACTTACCTGGCACAGGAGCGGGGCAAGCAGCACGGGCTATAGTGAGCCGTAGAGGACTTACCCGGCACAGGAGCGGTGCGTGATGTTTATACGATCAGTCGCTATCATTCTCACTGCTTCTAGTTTAATATTAGAGTAGAAGAACATCACAATTATAACCTTCACATTCCACAGCCAATATAACAAACAAACAAACTATCGCCTTGATAAACTTAACTCTTCATCTCTACTCCTTCAAACATAAAATGTCTTATCCTGTGTTAGATTAGGCCAAAGTTTAGAAACGGGAAAATTGGTTAAACTTAAAAATGACTTGAGATACGTGTTTAACAAGAAACGCAGCCTAGCCAGTCTGTTATCAATAACGGATATCCATTATTTGAATACACATGGTTTATAAATGTGGTGATGGTCGGCCGAGCGGACAGCACGCTGGACTTGTGATCCTGTGGTCCCGGGTTCGATCCCGGGCGCTGGCGAGAAACAATGGGCAGAGTTTCTTTCACCCTATGCCCCTGTTACCTAGCAGTAAAATAGGTACCTGGGTGTTAGTCAGCTGTCACGGGCTGCTTCCTGGGGGTGGAGGCCTGGTCGAGGACCGGGCCACGGGGACACTAAAGCCCCGAAATCATCTCAAGATAACCTCAAGATATGGTTCCATTGTGTGAAGATGGTGCTGGAGGGAACACACTGGTCAACACTGGAGACGGTCAGTAATATGGTGCTCATAAACAATTAAATATAAATTGATAAGTAAATATATAATATTAATATATATATACTTATATTAATATATATATATATACTAATATTAAGTATCAATATAAATTAAGTAAATGTCACAAGTGTTGATGAAATATTTACTGTGGCTGGGTTTAATTTTAAACATTAAATTTCCAATCCGACATTAACTTAACCACACGAAATATTAATTATAAAACCAATATCGCAAGTAAAACTAATAATCGCCTTTTGTACTCTCAGACGGTGTTCACCTAGCGTCTTCTGATGGTCCAAATTGCGAAGTCGCTCCATCAAATACTTAACTCTGCATGAATGTTGTTGTTTTAGGTTTAGCTGCTGAGAACAAAGTGTCCATGTAGCACGGGCTATGGTGAGCCCGTAGAATACCTCACTCTGCATGAATGTGTGCGACCAGAGTTAAATACCCAGTATAAATGTCCCCATACAGTCCTTTTTAGTCTCACGGGCTATTCATGCCCGTGCCACCTTTAGGGTGGCTTAATCTTTATCAGTCAATCCATTTTTAGTCGGGTGAAGAGAGCTTGGGAGCTTGTGGCGCGAGGACTAGTGTGGTAATATCTGCAGAAGACAACTAACGGGGTGAGAATAGCTTGAGCTACCTCATCCCTTTGTGTGTATTTTACATCAATAAACTTATTTCAACTACGCCGGTCTTCTTAACAACTGGAGAGACCGTTTGTCCAACGTCTATATTGGTACCTTGCCTGTAGGGACTGGACGAGTCTCTGCAAATGAGATGTTTCTGCTGCGCTGATTCACTTTCTTCTAACAATAGTTGATAATGTGCTCTTCCATTGTCACGATTTGTCTTTCACCACAACAACGGTGGTGGGAGTGTGGGTGGGTAGCCGGGGCCTGGCCGGCCCGGGGTCGG